GGGTTTTATTCTTTCTGTCTTAAAGCTTGAGGCCTTTTTGTGCAGTATCCTTTTAATTTCATTTTTCATTCCTTCACTCCTGTGTTAGTAGAGACCACCACATGCCAAGAACATTCTAGCACGAGATGAGCACGGCTTTTTAGTTAACGAGGGAGAAATAGATTTTAAAGCCAAGATTTTGTAACAACAGTAGGAGAAGGTTGGTTTCGTAGGTCATGGGTTGGATATAATGCTTGAGAACAGCCTCAGTGTTTTAGCTGGGGACAGCCACAGCCCATGCCACTCGGCAGAACACCCAGGCACAGAACAGTGGTGTGGGTGTTGGTTCATGCTGGGGACGACTGATCTATCAGCAAAAATACAAATGTGGCTGATTCCACCAAGGCATCCTTGTAGAGAAATTAAATTGAACAAGGGCTGTGTAAATTGCTATAAGGAGTTTGTTTATAAAATGGAGACAAAATAAGGAAGGGCTCTCTCTGTTGGTTCCAGTGAATTTGGGACTTCTTCACTGGTGGCTTTGTCTTCTGTGAGTGGTGTTGAGAGTTAGGCACTGGGAAATGGAGCAAGGATGAGATGTTACAGCCTTTGGACTCAATTCCACTGCAGCACTAGCTGCTGCAGCCGCATCCAGGCTGTGCAGCCCCCCAGGATTGCCCACACGTGGTGGAGGGGCAGGATGAGAGGTGGGAAACAAAAGCTCCCTGCAGGCTGGGCAGGAGGAGCAGTGGTGCAGCAGGGCAGGGGCTGTGGGGCTGAAAACTCCCTGTGCAGATGGGAAACACCAGGCAGGAATAGGGATCAGGATGGGCAAACTATGCCTAGAGGTGAAGGAATGTTTAAGAGAACTTGATTTAGTGGTGATCACAGGTAACCACCCTGGCTTTCCTGGGACTGGCTGCACTGGGAGCATCCCTACGTAGACATATCCCAACAGTAATTCCAGGCCTGGCTGTGACTGCACCTCACATTTTTGGTGGCAGCAGGAAAGCAACCTTTCACTTTTCAGTGAGCTATTGTGAGAAATTATATTTACTTTCAAAAATTTTAAAAAGGTTTATTAAAACTTTATCAAAAATTCCAACAGAATACCGAACAGAGAAAATAAACCCAGCTCTGGGAGCAGAGGATTTTCTCTACTATGTGCTCATCTACACAATGGATGTTCTGCTTTTTAACTCTTTGGCCTCTCTTAAACTTTTGTTTATTGACTCTTTGCTGTCTAGTGGTGAAGATTATTTTCTGACATCTTGTTTGGAGGTCAGGTGTTGCTGTAGTAATGAGCTGACTTTGATAAATACCCCAGCTATCTCCTGAGAACAATGTAAAAGTGGGGGAACATAAGTATAAATTTATAAAATTTCCTTAGTATATCCATAATATTTGTTAACTTAAAAAGAAGGGGCCCTTGGGAAAGAAAAGGATAAGCAGGAAAAGTTAATGGAGAAGATGAAAAAAATCTCATCATAGAAGATGCATTTGGCTTTCCTGATTTTGCAAAGTAGTTTTAACCTCTTGTCCTGAGATGAGTATTTTGAAAGCATGTTCTGCCATAAGTGTGGGTTGTAAATCTCCTTGCCTACCTCTGAACCGGGAGAAGGCATTTCCTTTGGGAAAGAATGTTGGGAAAAATGAGCAAGAAAATGTTCATGGCTGTAAGTCAGTACATGTCACATTAACCCTCCTGTCTTTCATTCACATATTTTTATTATTTTATATTTGAATTAAGCAATGCTTCTGTGTGTAGGAGCAAACAATGCCCAGAAGAAATCCCTGAGCAGATGTACAAAAAACCCCATAATTCAATGATGAAACAGGTTTAAAACTGTTGCTAATTATCATGGCTGATATAAAATGTACATTGCTGATTAATCAAATGTGCCCTGGTTTTGGTAATCTCCTTGCTGATGTATCAGCTTTCCTTTTGCCAGATCAGTATTAAACATTTGGCTGAAGCTGAATCTATGGCAGTGGGAATTTTATTGGCACGAGCAGAGCTGTGATGCCAGATGTGTTTGGGTTCTGAATGCAGAGGTACAATGTTCCATGGCTTTATTGTGAAGCTAAAAGCTGTGTTAGATAAATCATAAAAGCAAACCTGTTTATTTCCAAGGAAAAATGTGTAGTGCATATAAAAGCATGAGTGTTTCAATTAAAACTAATGAGTGCAATTTATCACTTACCTCCGCTTTTCTTTGTTTTGCAGCTCATGGGGCATTCTGAATGGGATCACAAACGAGGACCCAGAGGCTCACAGGTCAGTTCCTCAGTATTTTGTGTTTGATTTTGGCTTTTGCTACATTTGAGGCATTCAAGCAAGTTTTCCATCTGAGTTTGGCAAAGTTGTTAATTTCGTTAATATTTGCAAGGTTGGGAGCAATGGGAAAAGGCATAAAACCATGACAGCTTTCATTAATTTAATTTTTGAGCTGTAATTCAAACAGTTGATCCAGACAGAGCTGAGTCATCCAACAGAAAGGTTTTTATCAGTAGCAGAAGGATGGATTGGATGTATGGAGAAAACGTTTCTTACTCAGCTGTCTCCATCAGGACATCAAAGCAATGCAATTTCAAACAGTGTGGGTATGTTTTGTTTGGTGGTTTGTTTTTTGTTGGTTTTTTTTTTTTTAACCTGAAAAACTTGTAAAACTTAGATGGCTCTCTCACCATATATCCTTTCATTATTGACGCAGGTGTTAGAACTGTATGGGGAGGTGCAGAGGAGCCACTGCTTTGCCTTGACCTGTCACTGGAAGGAAATTATGCCAGTAGTGTTAATGGGATCACAGTCCATTTCAAGTTATCTATAGTAACTGTCTCTTGTAATTACCTATTACAATTGCTGCAAACAAGACATCATGACCAATATTGATGTTCAGGAATTTTCCTGCTTGGGTAAAACAGCCTTTCCTATCTAGTGTTGAAAGAACATTAATGCATTATTAGAGCTCCAGCCTTTTGTACTGGGTTTTACTTCAGGTGAAGGATTTTCAAAGGATACTTGGTATAAATGACAGTCCAGAGGTGTCATAAAGGATCTATGATAAGGTAGGAAAAGAAAACTGTAGAATCATAGGACAGTTTGGGTTGGAAGGGACCTTGAAGATCACCCTGTTCCAACCCTTGCCATGGCAGGAACCCCTCCCACTGTCCCAGGATAAAGTGGATATCCTTGTCCAGCCTGGACAAGGTTAAGTACAGGTTGGACAAGGATATCCACTTTGTCCTTGTGGATAGAGCCCTGTCCAAGCTGGCCTTGGGCACTGCCAGGGATCCAGGGCAGCCACAGCTGCTCTGGGCACCTGTGCCAGGGCATCACCACCCTCACAAAAAATAATTGCTACCTAATGTTTAATCTAAACCCACTCTCTGTCAGTTTGAAGGCATTCCCCCTTGTTCTCTCACTACAGTTCCTGATGAAGACAGGCTTTCTGATTACTGTGTGCTATCATGTGCCCAGACACAAAAAAATAAGGAAGAAAAGTTTTGTTAGGGAGAAGAAAACATGCCTCAGTTATTCCGCTGTAGCTTTACATTCTCTCTTTCACATGACTCTGAAAATCTTGTAGATAGGAACAGCATTAAACCTAATTTAATTAAGTTCCTTGAAAGGTTAGGAGAAATTAAGGAAGTTCTGATTTTTGCAGAATAGAAAAAGCTTTTTTTATCCTTTTGTGATTCACTTACATTGTTGCCAGTTTGTGTCCTTTAAAAAATGCACCTGTTGTAAAAAAACAAGATCTTGCTGAAAAATTAAGGTGAGTGATGTTCTAAGTATACTTAAATACCTTAAAATCCAGGAAAAATAAAAGGGAATCACTGGTTTACCATAATGTAAAACTAAAATCCACGTATGAACTCCTGAAGTTATTCCATCAAGACTCATTAAAAAGGCTCTGATTCAGTGAAGGGGATTTTTTTTAAGAGCTAGTAGGTTTTCTATGGCATGTGTTGAAACATGAGGGGAAGCTACTACAGTGCATGTCATCCTCCTTAATGGCCCACTTGGAAAACATGTTCCTTTTCTGCACGTAGGAGTGAAATGCAAAGTGCTGCAGTTCCAGGTAGAGATGGATCTCAAATGAAATTCACTGAGGCCCACGGGAATTTCTGTTTGCAGCAGTTTGTCTCGTGATAAGCATCTGCAATTCAATAGAATGTTAATGGCACAAGTAAAAAGCTGTCTTTACAATATTTAACTTGCTGGTGGCTTCTAGCATGACCATCAGTGCAGTTCCCTTTTTGAGACTGCCCACATGTATGTGTATGTATGTTGTAGGATTCCTTTTCTTTCAGAATAATTATACTATTAAGTCTGCTCTAATTAGATGGAATTATAGGTTGCCTTACAAAGAGCAGGGAGTTCCTGGCTACATACTTGTTCTTTTTTTTTTCTTCCTTTCTTTTTTCATCCCTGAAGACAGCACTGCTTCATGCTGGGAATTTATGGATTTGAAATGAAGCAGGAAGTGCAAAATGAATTTCATTACATTTCATGCTTAATTTTAATTATTAATACATGTTGGAATTAAGAATTCAGGCATGAAACTTCAAAATTGAGTTCCAAATAAAAAAAAATTTTTAAGTGTTTTAGGAATATTTAATCCACCTAAGGAAATTTCTCTCTGTGCCATCTGTAGAACGACGTCACGTGAGGGGAGAGTATCCATACATGTTAGTAATGTTGGCACGTGCCACGAGGAAGTGTCACTAGTAGAATTCATCCTTGGAATAGTATTGCTCTGCAGAAAAAAATATGCAAATTGTCTTTTAATCATTCTGCTAGAACACAGTAGTTGATAGTGCCAGGATCTTTCAGGTGGGACCAGGGCACGCTCTGTGCACCCGTTCTGACGAGGGCTCCTGGCTGTGTGGGAGTCATTTGTTGCTCTGTCATCAAGACTTGTTTGGCTTGCTGGAGACGTAGGCGTAGCCCCAGAGCCAGTGAAATCGAGCAATCCAGCTCTGTAGAAGCACGATGATGGAGGGAGAAGCACAGGTCCAGCCTTTTTAATTCTCTTTAACTACAAAAGCTCTCAATTATACATCCGAGGTGCTGCGTTTTTACCCCTGCAGTTCCTAAGCAACAGCTATTTTCAGATTGAGTGCGTCTGGTGTTGTCTACCTACTCCAGTCTCCTTCCTGCGAGGTGGCTCGTGGCTGGAAGCTGAGCTGCTGGCTGGCTGCCTCAGCCTCTTGCTGTGCCTCTGCAGGGACACAGATGCTTTAGAGGAGCAGCACAAGCTGGGCTCTGAGCATCCTCCACCTTGCAGCTCACAAAAACTCGCGTGCTTCGGGGAGCTCTGCCGCCTGCCATGAAGAGCAGGAGTCAGAAATAAGGTTCTTGCCACTGGTTTGGGACAGAAGCCTTTTTTTTTTGTCAAGTCTGGCAAAGCCTCTAGAGCAGATTGAGGACGATGAGCCGGAAATCTCTGTACTTGCTGAAGCGCAGGTGGGAGTCCATTCCCGCTGGGGACCAGGTACTGTGCTCTGGGAATCTGTCGTGTCTCAGTGTGCCCTCAGTGCCTCTGGAAAGAGAATGACAGTGACCTGATGGGGCTGTAGGGGTTCTGTGAACACAGGGAGAGCCAGCTGCTCGTTGTTTGTCCTTCCCAAGATGAGTGCTGCAAAGCGCTGGTAAAGCTGATTGTGCTTGTGGAGGTGGAGATGCCATGGGTGGCAGCCCACTAATGCAGAGGTGTTTAACCTAAAAAGTCTCCCTGTTGTCTCACAAAGGAGACTTTTCTAAAGGCTTCAGGAGTATTTTAAACTCAGTATTAAAAACTGTTTTAAACTGAGTGGCTGAGGGAAATTGTAGTCTGTTGATGGGTTGGTGCATGACTTTTTTGTGTTTCATGTCTTACATACATGTGTGTGTGTGAAGTCACTGAGGCACTGGCAGCACCTCAGCGTTCTCAGTGTCCTCTTGGTTGATGTGTCCTTCCAAGTGTGCTAACCAAGATGAGAGCAAAGCAGATGCAAACAGAACATATGTAAACATCTGCTGGGAAAATCAAATACTGTCACCAGAAGCAGGACTGAGATGTGATGAATGGCAGTGTGATTAGTGTATTTCCTACTTCTTGCTCCAGGCACTCCAAGATTCTCTGATTTTTTTTTTCAATACTTTGCTTGGGATGTACAGATAATGAAAGAAATAATTGCAGAAAGAATATTGGTGAGCTAACAGCTCCACTCTCAATCATAATTCCCTGTCAGTTTTCCATTTATAAAACAGTTGACTATGAATGGTAGTCTTTATCTGTAGAAAAGAGACAGTTCTCTCACAGGAAGAAAAACAGAAATGCATCCCAGTTTTTGAGAAGCATCCTCCTATGCATTTTTTTAAGAGGGAGAAGGGCAGAGTAAATTACATACCATATTTTATGTTTAAAGATAAATCATGCCACTTGGAACTTTTAGAGATCTCAGACATATTAGTTGTCAAAAAAAAAAACCCAAACCCATACTGTCACATTATTATTCACGATAAAATAATAAGGCATTGTTGATTAATACAGTTTTATTGTACTGAAAGGAATTTCATTGATCCAGATCAGTCCAGCGTTCTTATATTTGCATACATTTCCCAGAAAAAATGTATGAATAAATGTTCTTGTAGGAAGGGAATCATTTGTGATGTCGTTTCTGTTACGATGCAGAGACACTGAAGTTATTTCAAAGGAAAGCTGGTTTTCAGCCTTACTTTTCCAGCATTTCCTTTGAATCATTCTAACCCTAATGTTGCATTGCATCATACATCCCATTGTAGCACAGTATGTGGGAAAAATAAGTATTTCTCACTTAGGTGTGGGGTGTGCTTGGCTGCACTGAGCTGGGCATCAGTTCCACCATCAGTCCCTCAAGCCCTCTGCAGGGTTTTAAAAGAGGAAAGGTAAATTTCCCTGACCCATCTGCCAGTCTGGGAGAGTGAGACTCAGAAGGTGATGCACGTAAATACAGTTTACTTGAGCATGGTGTGAGTCTGTGAGGGCTGGCTGAAGGAAAATGCAGTCACTGTGCAAGAGGACAACCCCAAAGATGCAATCCTGAGTGTTTTAGGCTGATCCTGTTCACAAATTATTGTATAAAGATAATATCTCTGCCTTTTGGTGCAAATCCATTCTTTAGTCCTTGAAGGGATGCAGTCTCCTATAGTGTTCTTACAGCTGACCTTGACAAAATTATTTTATGCTTTGACAGGTAAGCAGTGCCGTTGTAGGTTGCTTCTCTACTCAGAGTAAGATAAAAGATATTTGTGTTAACAAATAACAAAACCTCTCCAAATGGGCTTTTTGCCACCTAAAATTAAAACAAAAACCAAACAGAAAAACTAAAGGAAGGAAATAAAATTAAACTGCAAAAGTGGGGTATTTGGCTTGATCTTGTTCCTTGTGTAAAATGATGTGTGGCAGGTGTGACTTTTAAGAAAGTGGAAGCTGTAAGTCCACAGTAAGTTTTATACTCTATTTGAACAGATTTTCTGGGTTTTTTTAAGTCATAGAGTGATTTTTGTTCCTCATCTTGCATACTCTGCATGAAATCAAATGACACCCAGAACTGTTTAGGCAAAGATGAGCAGCCTGAGAAGTGAGGGTGGAGAAAAACCAAGAGTTTTTATTATGTCTATAGACAATACAGTTGGAGGTTGTTGGTTTGGGGGTTTTTTTGGAGCTATGTTGTTATATAATTTTATTTTTGATCTTTTGAGCATTGTTTATGCTCTCAGACACTACATCACAGAGGTCTCCATGGTTTCCAGGCTCTGGTATGACAAAGGAATTTTCCGCTCCTTGTTTTGTATTTTATGGGTGTGAAAGAGTGAGGAAAGTAGATTTAACTGGGAACCCTGAATTAGATCTCTTTGGATTTGGTTGATGAAAAATGTGTGATCTTCCTGTTCATTTTTATATGTGGAAGATACATCTTTATCCTGGGGGTGTTTTGCATGGGCAAATTTAAGCTAAATAGTGATGAACTAAATGTCATCTATTGGCCTCTATTTAACAAACTGTAATATTTCTTAGTTCTTTAATCTTGAATGGCTTTGTCAATAATTTCAGAAGGAATTAACTTTATATAAGGAAAGAATTTGTGAGTGCTTTTCTTTCTTGCCCATCCAGCTGTTCAGATTGCTTGAAAGCCTCCCTGAAGTTTCAGTACAGGGGTTTGGGGAGTAATTCTCTGTTGGTTTATTTTGTTGTATGTGCCTGAGGATCTTGTTTTCAGGAATAAAAATCCTAAATTTTTTGTTCCTGAGAACTGCAACTGAGAATGCTTTCACTGAATGGATATGGATTTAAAATGTTGTGGGAGCCAGAGGTGTTAAATATTTGCTGTAATGCTGTTGAGTATTTCTACCTACCTGAAATTTCCCATAGATTTCATGAGCTGTAGCATTTGAGCATGAGTTGGTTTTGATACTGGTCCTAAGACAGGAAAATCTTCCCACATTATCCCATGATAGAAACTTCTAATTGTTTCATTGGTGATTGTGAACTTAAAAACACTAACTGGATTTCCACAACAATGTAAGCAGAAGATGACCAATAGTTACTACAGGGATTTATATACTTTATGGGTTTTTTAAATATATTTATGTATATTTTTTTAGCTGTGGATAGTTGAAAGGAATGTACTACGCAGTTCAATAAAAGCAGTAATATTTTTTTTGGGTAGGAATTTCTGCTTACAGCAGTGTTGAGCAGTGGCAGTGCTTTCTGTAGGCTGAGATTGGGATGGGTTAGTGTGAATCCCATGAAGGGATGCTTCCCTCACCTGCCAGTGATTTACAGCACAGCTGTGCCTCAGGCAGTGTGCAGGCACAGTGCAATATCCTGTTCCTGACCATTGGTGTGGTGGATGGGACAAACTTCCACAGGGTTTGTGGAACGGTGCTCAGAAGCAAATGAACTCATCCTGACTGAGTCATAACTGCAAAATGATAAACCAAGGGATTTTCTGGGTTTCATGTAGCATTACATCATGCAGCCTCCATATATTCACTCAGTACAAAGCAGGGTCCTGCTGGGCCAAGTCACTGCAGTGATCCCTGTGCCTAACCAAACCCCTTCTGATTTACCTGAAAACAGTTTACAATTTAAAAAAAAAAATAAGGTTTCCTGTTAAGAATGTTTCTGTGGGTCTCCACAGTTCTTCACTGTTAATAAAACCTGACATTATCCTTTCATTCAGCAGACAGTCTTCCAAAGCTTTATGGCAGAGCAGAGATTTGCAGGGTTTGGGATGTTATGAGAAAGAGGCCCCATGGCAGGGTTGTGGGTTCATTGGAATATGGAGCTGGGGGAGGAGAGCTGCTTTTGCACAGCAGGAAAGGTGCAGAAAGCTGAGCCTGGGATTAAGGAATCACCTAGGAAATTCCTCCTTTCTAACACAGCAGATGAGTGATGCAGGGCAGAAAGTGATCTCACAGAAATAATCTGCCTCAGATTTGTCCCTGCTTCTCTTGGAGTGAGGAGTTGAGGCACAGACACTCTCTGGGACTGTGGGACCATTTCTTTTTGTCCTGCAGGCTTTCTCCCTGCTGCTCTGAGGTCAGACAGGACCTGCCACACTGGCACTTGTGACCCAGATGATGTGGGCAAACCTCCTGCAACCTTCCACATCATCACTCACCCCTAGGGTAGGGAAAAACCTTTGAAATGCTGTCAGCCACCCTAGAATCCTCTCTGCTCTCAAATTCTCTGTCTGAAAACGACTGGCAGAGGGTCAGGAGTGGATTGGAAGCTCGGTAATGACTTCTACTCTGTCATGTCACTGTTCTTCATTCCTAAGCAGGAGCTCAACACAGATTTCCACAAATGTTGCCATTCTTCTTCAAAACTCTTCTCCACCTTTATTCCTCCCAGGTTTGCAGTGTAAGTCCAGCTGTGGGACAGAAAAGCTTGCACACAACACTCAGACTGTATTTTACTTCATTCAGTCAGCAAGTTCCAGTTCAGGAAGGTTGCAGTTTGTGGGATCATAGCCATGCTGCAGATCAGTTCAGTTTGGGAAAGGAATTAGCACTGAAATGCACACAGGAGTGGGAAATATATGCTGGTGAAATGACTCCTTGAAGAAGCAGCACAGTAGGAGTACAAAAAGTTTGGCATGGTGCCATTTGGCTCTATTTTGAAAAGCAGAGATAGTGGCAGAAGCTGATAATTGTCCTTTCCCCCCCCCCTTTTTTTTTTTTTCCTTTCTTTTTTCCCCAAGCTTTTCCTCAGGCTGGGGAGTGCATGTCCACTGGTGTGGTGCAGATATGGATTGCCTGCAGCAGTTGCATTGAGAAGATGGGATTGTGAGCTATCATCATTCAGAGCGGAGGAAGGAGATTTTTTTTTCTCTCTGGGGTGATCAGACTCCTGAAACACCCCTTAATCTGCCTGCATTTTTCTCTCTTTCCATCAGTTCTCATAATTTTGTTAACTCATTTGTTTCCAGAACCCTGATTTTTAAATGGTGTGATTTTCTGACT